ATAATATAAATAAAAAATATGAGCTTTTCTGCATTACATATATAAATTTTGTAAAAATTTTATTAATAAATTGTTAAATAATAAACGTCGAAATCAGCTATAATTTCAAATGATCGGTAAATGATCGGTAAGTGGTCAGATATTTTTTGGAGGGGAGTGTATGATCGGTAAATGTTATAATTTTAATTGATAAGAGGCTAACGGTTACCAAGAGATAACTTAGACGGACATTAACTGATTCATAAATTCGCCGCAGAAATGGCCGACGTGAAATATGGCTTTCTCCTAAATATCGAAGCCATATGACTATTTACTCGAAATTTTTGGCGCCTGATGACTTATTATTTTAAGAAAGGCAAACCCGTCAAATGAAAACGTAGTCGGCATGAGATGCATAAAATTATTACATTATTTAATATGATATTGAGTATCGGCTTCACTTTATTTCTAACTAACTTTTATCATATTACTAGAAATCCGTATGATTCTCATAATGTATGTTAGTGTTGTGTTCTACCTTTCGGCTGCAGTGTTAGCAAATGTTCTTGAAATGACCACCAATGACATTATATTTATATCGCGAAAATGTGTTAAGGTCCACATGATAGAAAATAATTAGGCGAGCCTTTGAAATTCATGAAACTCTTAAAGATATATTTCATCAACAATCGACTACATATAATGAAGAGATTGTCAAAAATAACACATAGTGATAATCGGCTGTTGCATTCACGCCTTTAATTGCAGAAATTCCTGATAAATTTCATTGTAGCTTAAAAAGAAACCACAAGAAGTATTCCTCTGTATCTGGATAACATAATAGAGCTCATCAATACAATTGCATCTATATTTCAGGCCAAATTGCGAATCAAACAATGCATGAATCAGAAATCACACAACTTCGTTTACGTCCTTCCACTCCACCTTATACTGTACGCCTTGCTAAATTAACAAAGACTCTAATAAAAGAGAAGTTATTAACAAGTATTACAGCAATAAAGCTTTTAATAAGAGAGCAAAGCTTTTAAAAGTTTATTTAAATTTTATTTCTAATGAAAATGTTCTAATTTAATTTTACATTAATCAATATTAAAAATAAATGAAAATGAAAATGATGACGAAACCACCACCACAATCATTATCATCACTGCAAATAATATCATTACTTAAGAGAGCAAAACTTTTTAAGTTTTTTTTTTTATCTCATAATAATTTTTAAGTAATACAAAATACTTATAAATCAAGTAAGTTAACAAAATTAAATAAAGAAATGACAATTAATAATGTAAATTTAAAAAGGTAAAATATAAAATTTATTATTATTATTATTTTAAATACTTATAAAATTCAATTTTTTTTTATTAATATTAATTTATATTAAAAAAAATATTCTAAAGAATTAGAAAAATCAAAAAATTTTTTTAATATTTTTAATTTTTGGTTTTTAATTTTCTTATTTAAAAAAAATGGTTTGTTATTAATTCATATAATATTATTAATTTTTGTTAAAATAATTTTTCTTAAGCATTTTTTTTTTATTTTCAGTTTAAAAGTAAACATTAAAGGTATTTAAACTGATAATCAGAATCAATAATTGATTTTAGATAAACAAATCTCATAATAATTATTTCTTTTACCTCTTAAATAGTATTTCTCTTTTTATATACTTATTATTCAATATCAAAAGCTTTAAAATTTTACATAATATTTATTTTAAACTTAAACAATTGTATAATTTAAGTTTCATCTTATGTATCAAAAATCAGTTATAATCTAAATTAGCAGACATTTTAACATAAATTAATAATTTAAAAAACCTTTACTAAAATTTAATAATTTAGATTTACTTATGCTAGATAATATTTATAACTTAAAATTACTAAGCATCTTAATTAAAAACTTATTTGTCATTTAAATTTTCTTTTATTTAATTATTAATTTTAAATTGTTTAAAAATTTTTTCATTTAAATTTTTTTTAAAAAATATGAATAAAATAAAAATAAAATTTTAACAATAATTATACTTTACTTTATTTTAATTTAAAAGAATTAAAGATGTTTAAAAGAAAGATAATAAAAGTATTAATATTGATATTTCTATTTCTTGTTACATAAATAGTTATAATAAATAGTTTTAAAGTTTTTTTAGAAGGAAATATTAGTAAATGGTTAACTTAAATAAGCTTAATATAAAGAGTTAGTTATTATATTTATGTTATTTTTTTTAATCGTATTTTTTTTAAAACTATAAAATATACAGCAATATTATATCATTAAGAATTAAGATTCAAAAAAATATATATTTATATTATTTTACAAACTTAATATTATTTTTACTATTACATTTAAAATTTAAAAAATTTTTTTTATAAAATATTTAAATTTTTAAAAATTTAATATTTTTATTATTTCTAAACCAAAAAAAAAAAGATCTAATTATTCTAAAAATTTTAAAATCAGTTTAGGTTTTTTAAAATTATAATTATAATTCAAATCAAATAAAATTTGAATTAAACTAAAAATTTTAAATTAATCTAAAATTTTCTGTTCAGTTTTAAATAGAATAAAATATGTTATTTATCAAAATATCAATATTATTTTTATTGAATAATAAAATTATTATTTAATTAGAATAATTAAATATTTTTTTTTTTTTTTTTTTACGTACGGCAGCTTTGCACAAACTTTATTTAAGAGTAAAGTAAAGTTTTACAACATTACAAATTATAAGATAGAGAGTACAAAAATTTCTATTTAACAATAAAGCCAAATCAAAATCAACCTTGCACTGTTCCAGACTAACCTACCCAAAATAAATTTAGAATAGGATCAACCATCCAGTACAGGGGGCGTGGTTACTACCGATCTAAAAATTCAACCAGTTCGTATCAAATCTAAAGGAGGAAATAAAGTACGGAGGAATACTAAAATTATGTGGTGATGATGAGGGAAAGCCGGTGTTGGTAAAATGCAATTTTCGATCATTGAGTGAGATGTTGTTAAGGTTTTCAAAATTTTTGATATCATTGCAACGATCAATCCAGATGGATTTTATTTGGGAAAATGCATGATAGTAAGTAGAAGATAAGAGACCGTTTGTTAATTGGAGGTTATTAACAAGGCAGTGTGTTTTGTTGAATAAGGAAAGGGGTACGATTCCTTTGATCAGGTCAATAAAGTTAAAAGAGTCAGGTTGATCATTTAAGGACCAGATAGTCAAATCTAAGAGATCCGTAAAATCCTGAGTGTCTGAAGTTAATGTAATGAGATGTTGTATGAAAAAACTTTTGGTTGAGGATATAATGTCAATGATATGATGTTTAATTTTGGCACAAGTTCAAACGTGATTAAAGGTTTCATAAGTACATGAATATCTAGGACAATTCCATGATTGGTCATATAGATTTGGGTATCTTATTTTGAGAATTTCAAGGGTAGGGAGCAGTTTAAGCATAAGCTTAGTTTTAAATTTGCGAATGGAAGAGGCTTTGAAGGATGTATAAGAGTTGTTTTCATTGTCGTTGAGAATGAAAGAGGTTCGAATCCAATCCACATCAATTGTACTGTATTTTTAAAGTAAGAAAGTAGTTGTATATTATGAAAATTGATTGATCTGAAAAGGTCTTTTATGAACAATCTAGGTGGTATAAATACAATATCCTCGTTAAAATAGAGATTATAATGGTGTTCTAGAAATTTGTTATTCAGAGTGATTGGGAGACTATCAACTTTTGCTAATGCATCAACTACGTTATTGTAATGATCATCTGAGTGAGCTTTGACTTTGTGAAATTCAATGAAAATGGACTTTCCTTGATTAACTTTATGATAAGGAACTAAATTGGGTAAAAGGAAATTTTAAAAATGGGGTTAAAGGTAGGGGAGAAGATGTGGAAGTAGTTCATTTTATCAAAAGTTGAAATGACATTTTGTGAGTCTGTGAAAATATTAACTGTAGCATATGTAGGCATTACATATATAGCAGATAGTACTGCTACTAGTTCTGCTAAAGAAGATGAAGGTTGAGAAAGGACAAGTGAAGCATTAAAGGAAAGTAAAGGTGCCGAAGGATCAGATTGCAACTAGGTTACGCCCATACAGATCGAAGAAGTACCTAAATTGATAAGAGAACCATCAGTATAAAATGAGAGGTTGGTTGATTGTATGAATTGAATTTTAAAGTTATCTAAACTGTTGAGGATTTCTATATTAAAAATTTGCACAGGTGTTAAAGATGGAGAAGATAAAGTAGGGGGATATTAAGTGTACTATTATCAATTAAATTATAACTATATAAAGCAATTTCATAAAGCATATAAGGGGACAAAGAACAGATATAATCAACATTTGGAAGAGGAGAACCTTGATGTCAGTACATAAATGTAAAGGTAACATCACAAAGCAGGCTTCCTGTTTATTTTTTATATTAGAAGAAACAAAAGAAGAATCATCATTGAGAGAGCATTTATTGTATAATAAAAGTGAAGTTTTGAAGGTATGGTCTAGCGAGGCAAAAAAATGTTGTAAGTGAACTATATCATTATTGATTCTGAGTACTTTCCCGATTATAGCAGAATGGGAATTTAAGTGTCAACCCACAGCAAAATGTGTAGTACTTTTAATATGGGTCAGAGGAATTGAATATATATTATTGGTGTGTAAGCAATGATAATTTGAAGGAATGATTCTTGTGTTAGGTAATGATATAAGTAATGATTGTAATTTGAGAAACCAAGCAGGAGCCTTGGGAATTGTCAGACGAGCTGCAGAAAATTTGAGATTAGATAATGTGAAGAGTGCTGTACCATCTGATGTTGTAATCTGGTCAAGAAATATCAGTTGTTTGCTTTTTAAAATTGAAGCAAAGATGCGGTAATCTTTTTTTGTGAAAATTTCACTTAAGGGAAATTGTCCTCCTTTTATACAATTAACCTCAGTATTGCTATTGGAGATGGTGATGTTAAGTGATTTTAGTGCAGAAAGCAGAGCAGACCACCAGTCTTTAAATTTGAAGGAATCATTATACGGTTAAAATGCTAGGGGTGATTTAGTGAGCCATTCATTATTTTGAAGTAATCTAGAACGGATTAGAGATGTAGTGCCTAAT